ATTCCCTCAAGATTAGAAGATAATGCCAATTTTTAGTCAGCCACCTCCCTGATAGTAGGAAATCAACAAAAGGTATAATTCTGGGGGTGTGTTGTAGAGAACATTTAATTTTCATATATATGTGTCTGATATATACTCGTGTATAAGCTGAGTTTTTCAGCACATATTGTATGCAGTTTTTGTGTTAAAATTAGATGCCTTGGCTGATATACAGGTCGGCTTATACTTGAGAATATACAGTAATTGGAAACAAAGTCTAGTGAAGAAGCAGAGTTGACCTAGTGATCTGGAATCTTGACTCTGATTCTTTCAACAAGAACTGTAAAGGCAATAGAGTGGGATGTCTCCTTTTATCTGCAGTGGAGCCCATGAAAGAGAAAATGAGGTTAGGATATCCAACTGGTAATTCTAGACATGCAGTGAGAGCCAGGAAATTCTACAAGAATACTTAAGGAAACTGTTATCTCTTTCAGTCATGTAGATCATTTAGTTTAAAAAAATCAGGCTCTGGATTTAACTAAAAGGGTGGCAGTGGGCAAAGCAGACCAAATCTCAGTGGTTGTTTTCTTTTATTATTAATCCTTTTGTTGGGGTGCTCTGACAAATCTTATAAGAAACCATCATTCAATTGCATTAGGCACAATTGTACATATGTTGCCATCAATACTTCCGAAACATTTTCTTTCTACTTGAGCCCTTGGTATCACCTCCTCTTTCCCATCCCCCACCCTCTGAATCCTTGATCAATTATGTATTGTCATTATTATTTCATATCTTACACTATCTCTTTTCTCCCTTCAAACACATTTCTGTGATTCATTCCCTTGGTTGGGGTGGTGGCTATATATCTAACCTTGTGATGGGTTCCCCCTTTCTCCACTTTCTCCCCAACCCCCACTGCCACCTTCCCCCTACCCTCAGGATATTGCTACTCCCACTACTGTTCTTGAGGTGTTCATTTGTCCTGAATTCCATGCGTCAAGAGCTCTTATTTGTACCAATATGTGTACTCTGGTCTAGCTGTATCTGTAAGGTAGAATTGGGTCATGGTAGTGGGGTGGCGGTGGTAACAATTCAAGAACTAGAGCACTGGTTCTCAACCTTGTTAAGGCTGTGACCCTTTCATATAGTTCAAGTTGTCGTGATCACCCCCCAACCAAAAAATTATTTTTATTGGTACTTCAGAACTGTAATTTTGCTAGTTATGAATCAGATGACCCTTGTGAAAAGGTCATTCGAACCCCAAAGGAGTCGCTACTCACCGGTTGAAAACCGCTGACTAGCGGAATGATATGTGTTTCATCAGTGCTATACTGCACCCTGGTTGAGTTGTCACTTCCTTGTAACCCTTCTGTGAAAGGATGTCCTATAGTGTACAGATGGACTTTGGGTCTCCACTCCAACTTCCCTCTTTCAAATCAATATAATTGTTTGTTTGGGATCTTTTGATAAGTGATACCTGATCCAGCCAACACTTCATGATTACACAGGATGGTGTACTTCTGCCATGCAGGGTTATTTGCCTCCCTGCAAAGTGGCTGCTTGTTTAACTTCAACCCTTAAAGATTCCAGATGCTATGTTTTTTGATAGCAGGGTAGCATCCGCTTTATTCACCACATTTGCTTATGCACCCATTTTGTCTTCAGCTGTGGTGTCAGGAAGTTGAGCATCAAATAGTGTCAGATATTAGAACCACATGCTCTTGTGTTTAGAGAGGCCTTGATTAGAGGCCCAAATTCTGTCCGCTATCTTAATACTTAACATATAAACATATGTACATTGACCTCTATCACTTTCATTAGAAATTAATATATTTACATTTATGCATGCCTATAGCTATCCCTCTATAAATAGCTTTGCTTCCTACTTCTTTCCTCTATTTCCTTTCACCTTCCTTCTGCCCCACCATATTGCTCACCTTCCATTCAGCTTTCAGCAAATCCTCTCGGATACATTGCACTTGATCAAACCCCACCAGGCATTATACATCCTTGTCACCATCAATTTTAGATCTCTTGCTGTTGCCTTATCCCTGAGCTTATTGGCTCCCTACTCCCCATGCCCCCTCCTGACCCTCTCCTCTCCCATCTCGCCATAGAACTGCTGGTCCCATTGTTTCCTCCTCATTGTTTCTCAATCAGCCAGTTTCTTCACAAAGCTTGAGCAGGAAATGTTATTGTCACTTAGGGAGGAAATGGCTTATGCACAGAAGGCATTTCAGAAACTACAGAATTGTGCTAGCAAGAATCAGGTGAACAATTTTGGAAGTGAATTTTGAAGGTGTTAGACCCTAGGCAGCAGAGAAAGCAGCGAAAAATTGTGTGCTTCTATGTTGACAAAGAAGGGGATTTACTGATATAAGTTCACTCATCCATCATTTAAGATTCAATATTATGGCAATGATACTTGAAAACTCTGCTCATACACTTACTGGATGGTTCTTTGAATCTTGAACATGATGAGGGCTTATAGCAGTTAGGTGGAAGTTTAAGAATGATGTGGAATAATACACAGGAGGTGCTGGTTAGCCTGAATTTTTAAAAGTGTAGTATCAGAAAAATAGCCTTAAAAAGCTATGTATAATGCACTTGGAAGAGGGGCTCTGGTGTTTTCATAGTTGACATATAGGAACCCTAGTAGTGTAGTGGTTATGCAGTGGGCTGTGATCTGCATGGCCAGCAGTTCAAAACCACCAGGAGCTCTGTGGGAGAAAGACTGTGCTTTCCACTCCCATAAGCAGTTAAAGTCTCAGACACCACAGAGGGTCCATAGGAGTCAGTATTGACTCGATGGCAGGGGAGTTTGTGTGTTTGCTTGTTTGAGCAGCTACCGTGCATGTAGGTTGGGCTCCACAGCCGAAGATGCTCAATGGGGTTCTGAAGCCACATGGTAGCACTGTCGAGAACAGCAAAACTAGAATGGCCATCAGGTAACCAGACCCAAAGAGAAGTGCGGGGACCTGCATCTTGCTCAGTAGCTTTTCCCAGGAGCTCACAGCAGTAACTTTGGAATGAAGGAAATAATAAAATTTAGGGATCACAAGAAACACGGAAAAGATTATAAAACAATTTCACCTGCACAAGACACGGTTGAGTTTAATGATGTGTATTTTACAATTCACTCTACAACATCAGTATTTTAGAAGCATGCAACAGAGATTCAGAGTTCTAAGAAAAACAACCAAATTTATTGGAGTGTTTTGTGTGTCATTTGAAAGAGAACAACAGGCTTATTGACAAAGTTTCTCATATTAAATCTGAATAATATCCATACCCCACATGAATAATAATAAATTATGCATATCTTTGCTGCTTTCAAAGGCGAATTATAGTTCAAATACATTATCTCACTTGATCTTGCAAATAAAATCATACTTTTGGTAGTACTAATATGGACTTAAGGAACTCTGGTAGTGTAGTGGTATGCACTCAGCTGCTAAGGGACAAACTCTGAGGTTCAAGCCCATAACCTCTCTGCAGAAGAAAAACATGGCAGTCTTCTTCCAGAGAGATTTGTAAGTTGGAAAGCTTATGAGACAAGCTTATGAGACAAGTGATCTTGTATAAATACGAATCTCGTATAAATATAAATCAAGATAGCAGTGGGTTAATATGGACTTGCTGAGAAGAAAATGGATTAAGGAAACAATCTATAGCCTGTAATTTGCATACCTTAAACTCTTCAGAGCATGTCTAGGCACCTTGAGGACAAATACTCCATCCTACTGTAACACTCATTCATAAATGACTCTGTCTCTACTCTGTGTTAACTGATAATTAGATTCGACCTTGCTTCCGATTTATAACCTTGATAATTGCCTTTCGAATCTGCTTAGTCTTCACACTGTAGATGATAGGGTTGAGCACGGGAGGGATTAGCAGGAAGACATTGGCCATGAGGGTGTGAACAAAGGGAGGCGCAGAATGGCCATAACGATGAACAAGAGACAGACTGATGAGGGGCATGTAGAAGATGGCAACTGCACCGATATGGGATATGCAGGTGTTGAAGGCTTTCTGCTGTTCTTCTGAGGAAGCAATGCGGAGAACAGACCGAATGATCAAGACATAGGAGAGTAGGATGCAAGGGCAATCAAATCCTGCTGTGGAGAAGATTGCAAACAGGCCTAGAATGCTGTTGATTCTGTTGTCGGAACATGAGAGTTGAATGAGATCAACATGGTAGCAGTAAGAAAGGGAGAGGACCACAGACCTACAGAAGGACAATCTCTTGACAAAGAGCACAACTAGCAACATGACAGCAACACTCCTGATCAGCATGCTCAACCCAATGTGGACAATTCTCGCATTGGTGAGGGTGGTAGTGTAATGCAGTGGGTCACAGATGGCCACAAAACGATCGAAGGCCATGGCCAGCAGAACTCCAGACTCCGTGAAAGTGAATCCATGAAGAAAGAACATCTGTGCAATGCAGGCGTTTAAGTTGATCTTTCGGGCTTCGAACCACAAGACACCAAGTGTTGTGGAAAGGGTGCACAAGGACAAGCCCAAGTCTGTGGCTGAAAGCATCGAGAGGAAATAATACATGGGTCCATGGAGGCTCTGTTCATGGAAGACCACAAAGAGGATCAAGCTGTTCCCAGAGATGGCGAGCACATACAGGAGGCAAACCGGGATAGATATCCAGGCCTGGGCTGTTTTCATTCCTGGAATACCCGTCAGGAAGAAGACCACAGGCTGAACACTGGTGTTATTGAGGGCCAACATAGTGATGGACTGAGGAGACAGAGATGTTTCAACAGCTGTACACAACAAACTAACAATCACATACAGTTTATTATCTAGAATATTCTGCTGGTTCTCAAAGATTCACTGCATAACTGTTGGTTCACTCCTATGACTGCTGTGATTAATTACTGCTAATCCTTTAAGAATTTGATTATTTTCTGAGTTTTCTAGAGCTGTATACTTGTCTCTTCATCTCTTTTCATTCATTCAAAATACGTCACTAACTGAAGTCATTCTGATCAAAGTGTCTTAAGCATAGTAAAGCAGTAATTTTCTTTGGTTCTAACAAACAGCACCAGTAAATTGTCTCTGCCTCTAAAAATTCCAGGTAGAATATCTCAACAATAGGATGATAGGTCTGGTTTCCAGTACTGTTTGAAAATAAATGATTGATTTTGAAATAAAACACTAAACAAACCAGTTCACATTTGAGATGCAGCATTATAAAATTGGACTAGGAAATATATAGCATGATGTCAGAATATTTTGGAGACATTCATGCCAATATGTGTATTGATAAAATTGTCTAAGTTACCTCAAAATAGAATTGTAGCTCCTATTTGTTGAGAGTGTTGTGTACTGTAATTTTGTTCATATAATTATTGTAGGAGGTACATTGAAGAGTATGAAACCTTCAGATGAGGAATCTAAAACTCAGAAAAATTAAATAATCATCCAATGTTATCTTTATAAACAGTAATTACTGAGACAAATAACTACTCTAAAATGGGGAAGAGAAAAGAAATGCCTACTATAAGAAAGGACAAAATGGATGCAGGAACAGAGACAGGAAAAATGAAGGAAAGGAGGGAGAGAGGAAATACAGGAGAAAGAGGGGGTGATCGTAATTGTTTAATATACAGTAAGCATGATAACATGCTGAATAGCAACACAGGGTATGATTACAACACAGAGAATAGTAATGGCCAATATGTCTTGAATCTGCCTGTTGCAAGTGCTTTACATGCATAATCTCATCTAATCATCATATTTCTATGAAATAAAATTATGACTACTGATTTATATATGGAGCACTGGTGTTAAAATTATTAAGTATATAGCCTCACTGGATGCAGCTGGGAAGTAGAGGACCTGAGGGTGGAAGCCTTTGGTCTGAGCCTGACGTCGTCACTCATTCAGGTAAGCAATTCAGAGGAGATACCCTTAGACCAGTATGTTTCTTGAAAATTATTTTTGAGATGTATGCAGATAAGTGAAAAAGTATTGCCACTAGGGTTCCAATTTATATATGCACGGGTTATTCCAAACAAAATGTCTTCAGACACCTTTTCAATCAGTGGATGTCTGCAGACACATTCTCTCAGCAATGCACTTGCCTTTGTCTCATTCGGGTCCTTTGGGTGAAGTGGCCTCCAAGGGGACCTGGTGGGTCAGTTCATTTGAGGCCCTGAAGTCAGCTCAGAAGGTTATAATGACTGCTTGTTGCTGTTATTGTTGTTGTGGGGAGAGGGGAGGGCGGGGGAGTGCCTGGAAATTTAAAGATTTAATCTTGACAGATTTTCTCAAAGGATTCAGGGAGCTTATCGGGAAGAAATTTCAAGAAAATTGAAATCCACGTTATTAAGAAAAAGGCCAGGAAAATTGTTTTTTCCATAACCACTATGCACCAGGTTATTCTTCTAAGGTAGGAAGGACTTTCCTAGGAGAATTTTAAGAACCCTTACCCCATCCACCTTGCAGCCTTGTCTTGCCACTTCAAACTTAAAAAAAATTTTTTTCTATCAAACTCAAAAACATTTCAAGAAATGGAGTTTGAAGTACTCAAGGAGTCCAGAACTACTGCTTTGACCTGGTAGAAATTGGAGAGAACAGAAGTTGTTGCGGGAGGGTGACAGAGATGGAAACGGCACTTCCATAAGTGGAGACCCAGATAGAATCTATTTAGAGAAAAAACTGCTTCATGGTTTCATATTTTTCATGAAAAGTTTTTATGATTTTATTTTAGCAATACTTTTTTACTTACCCTCATATGCCTTCCCAGAGACTAGTCAGATTTTAGTCTTTGGATTAAATTCCTGAGTTTTTGATGTTAAATCCATGGGAACTGATATGATGCCATTAAGCTTTTCTGAAAAGCTTGGAGTTAAAATTGACCTTGATGTTGTTGACAGTTATGGGCAAAGATCCCAGAGAATTAGGTTTACAGGCTGCACCCACTCTGGACAGCACAACCATAAGGGAAGTTCTAAGTTCAGGTCACTCATCTTAATGAGCAGCTCAGTTATGCAATTATTATACACAATACCGATAATATTTCCATCATGAGATCTTTCCCACTCCCCACCCCCCATCTATTGCATGACAATAGGGTCAGTTTCTTTTCTCCAACCCCTGAACTCCTTATTCTGCTTTTAAATTCCCTCTGAAACTCATGTTTTCAATATGAAATTTAATATCCTTTACGTTTTTAAAGAATTTTCTATTTTGACCTAAGAGTGTTGTCTAAAGAATGAAAACATTATTCAAATTAAGAACCCTAGAAATGAAATTAAAATGTGCCTGGTATCACAGTGTTCAAGCACTCAGGTGGTAACCAAATTTGGCAGTTCAAATTCACCACTGTCTCTGCAAGAGAATAATGTGGGAGTCTGCTTCTGTACAGAACTGTAGCTGTGGAAATCCCAGGAGAAGTTCAATTTTGTTCTATATGGTCTTTGTGAATTGAAATCTCATCAGCAGCAATGGCTTTTGTGTGGGTTTTATCACTGGAGTTATACTAATAGCTTAAGGAAGAGAGATCCCAGAAAAGAAGAAGAAATCCCATTTATATAAGTAAACCACAATTCATAATAAAATTCAGAAAGAGAATAGCGTCCGGTGGTACAATTGTTAAGCATTTGGCTGCTAACCGAACGACCAGTGTTACAAACCCAGCTGCTGCTCTGTGGGACAGGCAGTCTGCTGATGTGCTCCTGTGAACACTACAACCTGTGTAATCAGCTGAGCAGTGCTCCTCTTTCACCAAGGATAATTGTGAGTCAGAATCAACTCAATAGCACACAACAATGAATGAGGAACATTTTTCCTGGACCCAGAGTAACCATTTTAGTGGTGATTGACACAAAGTTCTAACATACCCGCTGCCCTCTATTCAATTCTGCTCCATAGCAACCTTAAATAGGGGTTCTGAGTCTATCCATCTTTATTGGGACCTGACAGACTCATTTCTCTCTCGCAGTGTCTGGGGGTCTTTGCACTTTCAACTTGCAACTAGCAATCCAACAACAACATACACAGACATCAAGGCTCTTTCCCAAAGAACCAGATTAAACATTATTCCATGAACGAGTAATTATTGCGATTTTTGCTGAAAAATAACCTTTATTCACAACATCCATAAAACTATGGAATATGTTGGTATGACAAAATGTATGTGTTTGGTTGAAGATGGGTCTGGAAAGTTTTACTAACAGAAATGAAAGAAGACTTAATTTTTATTCTGAAAATCTGACTCTTCAATAATAAGCAGATGTGCATTTTCCCATTAACTAACACTTATATTCAGTTCAAAGCATTACCAATCAACAACACAGAATTTCTCATAGATCACAACAGATGGACTCTAAAATGTACTATACACTATTGATGAGCAATATTTAGTTCAGTCTTGAAAAAGATAGGAATTTTTTGCTTAATATAACAAAATAAAATATAAAACGATAGCAATTGACAAAGCGAAATACTGTTGAAGATTTGTTGTTGATGTTGTTAAAAAAAAACAAAAACAAAAACACTCACTGCCCAAAAGTCAATGCTGATTCATAGCAATCCTATAGAAGAGGGTAGGACTGTCCCTGTGGGTGTCTGAGACTGTAACTCTTCATGGGAGGACAAAGCCCTGTCTTTCTCCCCTGGAGATACTGGTAGTTGTCCAGATTTCTCATGCATATGAAATGATTGAAAATGCTATGATTGAGTCAGGCACACCTTTATCTTCAAAGAGATTATTTATCTTTTAACTTTTTCATTTTTTTTAATCAATTTATTGGGGCTCATACAATTCATCACAATACATAGATCAATTGTGTAAAGCACATCTATACATTTGTTGCCCT